TTTTATTCTTGTAATACTGAAAATACGTTTCATTGGTTATTGATAAGGATTTCAATCGTTTTTGATGTGCTGTCTTTTTAGAAAATATACTTAAAACCCTGATCTTTTTAAAACGGATCTTTATTTTACATAGTTTTGTTATATTTCCTACCTCATCCTGTCAGGCATGAATTATTTTGGGCCCAGTTGTTCAAAATTAAGAGAAGTCCAACACTGTAAAAAATTAGCTGCTTTTTGTCTGTTTTAAAACAGATTTGAATTAAATCAGTAGGTTTTAAATCATAAATCTCAACTACAATAATTAAGACTAAGGTTTAAAACTTAGTGCTTATGAAAGCAAACTAAAGAAAGCATTTTATCTCTCTGACTTTAATTTGATTTTAGATGCTTATTTTCTCCTTTTACAGCCAAAAACTGGATAGAGACTGAGGAAAAAGAGCAAAGCCATATAATGTGATCTGTTTTTTATATCTATGTTTTTATTTGGTTTAACATAAGAAAAGTAAATGTCACTATCTGGGAAAGAGCAACATCTAAACAAGGCGGCAGCAAAACGTATTGATGTATCTTTGTACAGATTTTTATTGTTATAACTTTTTGCTCTTCCATTAGGTCGATATCGACATCAAGCTGCGCTCCTGTAAGGGATCCTGCGGCGGACACACCGAGTACCAGGTGGACCGGGAGAGCTACGTGTCTCTGGACAAGCAGGTGAACACCCGTTTGATTAAGTTTCATATCTCACTTCTAACATCAGTGAAGCTTCATGATTCATAAAATGTATCTATTGTAATTTATGTTATGTGTGCAAACTTTGTTGTTTTTGCATCCAGTTTACATAAAAAAGTAAAAAGCTGCAATTCCACTTAAAAACAAATAACTGACGCTGCAAAAATTACAATAAAGAGAACGAATTTTATCAGCAAAAGAACATCATGTTTGATCAGGTTTGTTATAGGAGAAAATGTTTTGCCTCCCCCAGGTGAACCAGCTGGACGCCCAGACGGCCCAGAGCTTGGAGACGGTGGGGACGCTGTACGTGATGAAGAGCCGGCCGCTGCAGGATGTGATTGTTGACTCCAGGTTCAAATCCAAGGATGTGGCGGCGCAGCGGACAGAGGACGTGTTCCCTCAGGTGAGGAACGCTTTGGGTTCTCCAGAAACAACCGTTTATAGAGGTGCGACGTATCTAAGCAGAAGGAAACTGAAGGACATAAGAAATAAATCCCAGTAAATAGTAAAACAATGTAATTACCTCAGAGAAAGGGGTTTCCAGCTCCAGTTTTCAAGGAGCGGTGCCATACTGGTTTTTGATGTCTTCTTTCTGTTGATTGAAAATGCTGAATTTTTTCATCAGAACCTCATCTGGTTCTGCAGAGGAACGTCTGACACCGGGTGTCCAAAGTGCAGTTTAATATATCTGTTAGCTTGTTACGTTAGCTTCCATCTTATAAATCCCACTAGTAGCTGAAAAACAAGTGAATTGGGTGTTAATTTCTAGATTAAACTTTCCTGATGTGACTCTCAGGTTGTTTCTCAGGCCTTAGCCTCCGCCTGATTCAGTATGAACCTTCCTGAATGATGAAATGATTGGCTCCCATTCTTAAAACGTAGTTTCTTCTGTTTCCAGGTGAATACTGTTCAGTTCATCCTGGAGGAGGAAGGCTCCAGCTCATCTCCAGCCACCGTCTCCAAAGTCCCAGGTACTTCTTCCCACTCAACGTCTTCCTCCTCCTCCTCCTCATCCTCCTCCTCATCCTCCTCTTCCGGATCCCCGTCTAAATCCATCACGGAGCTCTCAGGACGCGGCGACGGCGATTTTCTCAGCGGCTTCAACAGCCAAGGACTCCCCAGCCAGCCGAGCGTCAGCGTGAACACCAAAACCGTCAGCTGCACCAGAACCATCAGGAGGACGGTCGTCCAGACCGAGAACGGGCCGGTGGAGCGGATGGAGGAAATGGGCGGTGGACCCGAATGTGAAACATTGGGTGGCTTCTCAAAGGGCGGCCTGGGTTCCCTGTTCCCAACGCTCACCGGCTCATCCTCCTCTTCATCCTTCCACTCCGGGGGATCCAAGGGAAGCATCTTGGCAGATTCTAAATCCGGGTTGGACCCGTTCGGAGCCGACTTCGGTGCGTTCATGACCGACAACGCGGAGGACGACATTCCTGATTTCCATGCTCGCAGTGTGAAGAGCACGGTTGTGGAACGGCAGGCGGACTTTGTAGGAACAGGTACCAAAACAGCCGAACTGGAGTAGGATCTGTAGGAGACGGGAAGGAGGAGGCCAGACAGCTAGCTAACTAGCTAGCTTGTTAGCTAGCCATATGTACCAAAAACAGGAAGTGAATACAAAGCAGCTACTTTATTGGTCCTAGTTTCCACATTTAAACATTTAATGTGACATAAGGAATGCCTAGCATTTCTGAAAAGCAAAACTAGCTAACACGTTGACTCTCCAAGGACTTTATAACCTTTTTAATTACCGTTATCGGCTCTCGAACATCGACCCATTCTGTAGCAAATATAACTTTAAATGTTTCCATTGGTCCAACCAGGGCTGGGTGATGTGGCCTAAAAATAAAAGTCTGGTTCGGTTGACGTGAACTCTGGTGCGTTTCAAATGCAAACGCCAAACGGACCAGAGGCTTCTCCAAAATCAGGAAGTGGACTACAGCGCAGGGCATTCTGGGTAAATGCAACCAAAACAAATGTGAGACTCTAACGCTAACAGAAGAAATGGCTTGTTGTCTTTTACCAAGTCTAGAGAGAAATCCGACAACCACTCAGATATGAAGCTGCTTGTTCACATGTTGTGGAGGAGGAAGTTGCGTGTTCAGAGGTTGTCCTGTTGTTTCCTTCAGTAGTTCTTGGTGCAGCGCCCCCACAGGCAAGGAGGGGAACAGTTTTTTAATTAGTTTGTTTAGTTTGACAGTGCAGTGAGAAAGAGAAACACAGCAACTGAAAATGCAACAAATGTTGTAATTTTGGTCCCAAATCGAACTGAGAATACCAGACTATCAGGCGGAAAGAGCGCCGCAAATCGATCGATTGATAAATTCGATTTATCGCCCAGCCCTGGTCCAGACACAGTAGAACTGGAAGATTTGCTTTTTACAACTGATTGAAGGAAGGAATCGTTTTTTCTGCAGTAAGTTTGAGCCGGCTGATCCAAGCCGGTCCTCGCTAATTCGCGGTCTTCGGTGTGTGCCCCTCTGTCCCCAGATTGCGTCGACGCCTACCAGAAGCACCTGAAAGGCGAAGCGAACGGTCTTTTTAGGATCAAACCCGCTGGCTCCGCGGCGGCCGTGGAAGTCTACTGCCAGCAGGAGGGCATAATGGGCGGGTGGTTGTTAGTCCAGCAGAGAGAGAGCGGCTCCGTCAGCTTCAACCGCACCTGGGCCGAGTACCGCGACGGGTTCGGCTCGGCGGACGCTCTGAGGAAGGGGGAGTTCTGGCTGGGCAACCAGAACCTCCACCTGCTGACCAACCAGGGGGAGACCATCCTGAAGGTGGAGCTGGAGGACTGGGAGGGGGGCGTAGCCACGGCTGAGTACACGGTTCGGGTCGGCACCGAGGTCGAGGGCTTCCCCCTGCAGGTGTCCGGGTACACCGGAGACGCCGGGGACGCTCTGGCGTCCCACAGCGGCGTCAAGTTCAGCACCTTCGACAAAGACGACGACGGGTCGGGGGAGAACTGTGCGGAGGCGTACGGCGGCGGGTGGTGGTACAACAGCTGCCAGGCGGCTAACTTAAACGGGATTTATTACAAAGGAACATACGACCCAGAAACAAACACACCTTACAAAACTGCGAACGGCGTGGTGTGGCCCACGTTCAAACCGGCCACGTACAGCCTGAAGGCGGCGCGGATGTTCATCCGACCGGCCACCTTTTGATCCAAACCAGGGCGGGCAAACTCAAGTTGGGCCAAAACAGGATCATGAATGTTGTCAAAGAGCCGATCATTCCAGGATACACCGTTAAAACCTCTTACAATGTTCCAATTTAGGTAAATTTGCACTTATGACGTTGCTCCCAGCACCAATCATGAACTGTAGCTTTACATCAAGGCTGAGGCAGCAGAGTAGTAGAAGTAAGAAACACTGATTGGTGTAATGTTTATATCTGGAAACTAGAGGACCACCTAAAACACTACCGCGGGCCGGATTTGGCCCCCAGGCCTCGGGTTTGACACATGATCCAACCACTAAACCTCATAAACATCTAGAAGTCTGTCCATTTACTGCATGAAAACCGAAATGAGGATGTGACGGTTTACCTGTTAGTGAATCATTCAACCAATGTACCAATGTACTGAACTGCATCGATCTGCTGTCCAATGTTCCCAAAGTGACCTAATGTTCTCCATGAGGATCAGAGGATTAAATCTGATCAATCAATAAAGATGCTGTGTTCACTTCAGCTGCTGTTTGTTGTCCTGTTTTTCCAACTTAAAAACTTTAAAGGCAACATTTTAAATGGTAAAGTTACAGCAACTCTAATGTGTTAATGATCCAAACAGAATCAGCCAAAGCTAATGTGTGTTCTTGAAGTTAAGCCATACTGCATGTATACTTCCTTATATAAAATCACAAGAGAACATAATGTTTTAAAATATACTATATAGCCTATTTACGAATATCCATTTTAAAGCAAGATCCTTTATCAAATGCAACACTTTCTACCTGAAAAATGAAAGGAAAAGATCCAAGATTTTAATGTAAAAATGTAAGCAATATTCTCTCAAAGTTAAAGCTTTCTTTGTCAAAAAGTGGGAGAGGAAAAAGTGCAAACAAAATGGTGTCTCCAACTGAGAACTGAAGGTCAAAGAAAAGCAAAAACAAAATGTAGATCAATAAATATCAACAAAAGAGGAGTCATCTCTGTTGTAAACTGTAAATGTCAGCATGAGTCTGTACTTGGATCAAGATATACTAAGTATTAGTACTTTGTGGCAGGAAGTACATAAAAATGCAAGTGTAAGCTTTAGTATTAAAGTATACAATAAGTGAATGTCTTAGTATTTATGTTCTTTGTTTTAGATTTCTCTTTAAACCTTTCGGCATGTCAGCTCTATTCTGTTCCTAACTGTATAAAATTAGTTTATAAATCTGTACTGCCTCATTACTTTTAGAATAAAGCGTACCCATAGTACTGCTGAATAAACTACTGTTTGGTAAAGGCTTTGAAGCATAAAGCTGATTTCTATATTAGTAAAATAGATATTTTATCAGTTGATAAAGTGTTGAACTATCTGTTTTCTACCTAAACAAAAAATATACAATCAAAAACCTTGAGGCGATTGGAGACAGTAAAATGGTTCACAAACTGAGTCACATTTAGTCTCAAACAGGTTTATAAAGTGTTTTAATCTCCTTATGGACTAAAAGGATAAGGATGGCAAAAACATGTTATGTAAATGCAACTCAAATACTGAAAAGGTTGAACAGCATCAGGGTCTTTGACTGGGCCAAAGGTCCTTCTGGTCTGACCAAGAGACAGAAACAAACACAGTTATCTTTTCCTTTGTCCAAACATAAACCCACCTCTGCCTTGTTTTTCTCTTCCTCTTCAGTGTGTCAGAGGTTCAAACAGCAGAAACAAGATGGCCGCCGCTCTGCAAGTGGCACCAACACGTACAGGATGCAGCGGTGCTCGGCTGGATCACACCTCTCTCTGTGTTCAGATGATGATTGGGTAAGAAGTTTGAGTCTGAGGAAATGCCCTTTTAATCAGTTATTGATCAGTTTTAAACGGATGAATATTAAGTTGCTTCCTGTGGTTTACAATAAACAAACCGAAAACATGCAATGAAATAAAGTAGATGTGTCGTTACTGACAACTGAAATTGGTAGGATTGTTTCCAAAGATTTATTTCTAGTAAATATCCTTTGATTTATTGATAATCCTTTTTATAAATAAAGAATAATGCAGGACCGCGGGTAGAGCCTTGTGGTGCTCCACCTTTAACTGGATCAGTGTTTTCTTTCTGCTAGGAGCCATTGGCTCCAACTTTCTCACTTCCAGCTCCTATTTCCTCCTCCAAAGGTCTCCAAATGCCCGTCTGGCTGCAGGCTGCAGGGTTTGATGTCAGAAATGGAAAATGACGTGGAAAAAAAACTGCAGACGTTCTGTCAAAAGTCAAGTATTTATGAAATCGCAATGGAGAAGTCCATGACGGAGATGACGCACGTCTACAACTCTAACCGCAGAGTCATAGTCAACAGATACAGTTAAGATTCACACAAAGTGTTTGGTTTCGGCTTTCTGGAATAAATAACGACCTACTAAAGCTGGATTTTGTGTTTAGTTTCAGAACTGAAGTTTGTGAAAAGTGCCGACAAACTGGCCAAGAACCTCAGAGAACTACGACGGCGATCAGGATTTCTGGCGCAGAAGATAAAGGAGATGAGCAGCCATGTGAGGAAACAGGTGGAGGAGCTGTATCGAACAGAGGTGAGGATGAAACAAAACAGAGACAGGAAATACAGTGAAGGGAAATTAGACATTTGGTTCTGAAATGTTTTGCAGATAAAACTGAGAAGTTGGTCTTTTTGACAGAAATTCCTCAGTAAACCTCAGTAGGACGCTAACAGAGGCCTGTCATAATACATTTTGCTGGACGATAAATTGTCCCAGAAGTTATTGCAATAAATGGTTCATTTTTTGAGACTATTTTTATCTGATATAATTGTAGAGACATAATAGTGCAAGTACACCCTCTTAGAGATCAACAAACTTTAATTTCTAACTGGAAAACATTTCAAATATCCAAAAGAAATAAAATAGATACTTAAATCTCTGTAAACAAAATTGTCCTTCAAAAAAGAGGATAGTTGAGACCGAAGCACCAGACTGAGGCCTTTTGTGTCCAGTTTTTGATAGAAAGACACAAGAAAAACAATCATGCAAATGAAAATGATTGAGCTTATTTTAATGCATCATCACATTAATTGATTTATTGCTAACACCTCACGCCTTACATCATCAGGTGGACATAGACATGAAGCTGAGGACCTGCCAGGGATCCTGCCGCGCGGCGCTGCCGTTCAGCGTCGATCACCATGGTTACCAGTCTCTTCAAACAGACCTGCGCCTCATGGACAAAACCATGACACAGAAAACCAAACCCGCCACGCCTCCCCAGAACATTCCCAGAGTTACGCTGCAGCCGGCGAACGTCGGCCCGCCGCCGTCTGCAGAATACAAAAAGATCCCGACGGTCCAGAAAGAGCTGCTGACGCAGTTTGAAGACATAGAGCAGAACCGCATGGTTCTGGTGGATCAGTCGGATGAGGTGAACACACTCAGAGCTGCAGGTTCCAATCTGGAACCAACAGCTGAGGGGGATCATTGTAGTAATACTTAATAAAGACAGAAAGACTTCACTTATTTATGTTTTCCTGACAAAAATACCTCCTACCTTTCAAGTTTTTTCCCTTTGTCATATTATTTATTACTTTTCCTCTTAGCCTGATTTAAATTGATAGAAAATGTTTGTCTTAAAGACAAAGAGCAAAGATACAAACCAAAAATACATTCATTTAAATTAACTGATCAGTTTAGTTTAGTTTAAAATTAATGATTGTGGCGTTCTGGAACTAAGACATGATAGAACCAAACCTGGAAAAAACTTGTTTGTTTGGATAAATATTTAAATAATGCCCTTGATTTAAATATTAATATAACTTTGTTATTTATTGTAACATTGTTTTATTACAGTCATGCGGTCTGACATATAATTAACTTATTTCACCTAAGAAAAAGTCATTTATGTGTTTGTAAATAATTTATAACTCTTTTGCAAACATCTCTGGTGTTGCATTTAAAGACAAATACATTCATCTTATTGGCTTTGTTCTTTGTACAGCTGCTAATAATAAAATTTGTCCCAAATCAATAGATTAAGTACGACATTGCTTCTGATAAGGTGGACTTGAAGTTTAAGGTGAATCGTTTGTGTTGAACATTAGCTGAGCTGAAGCAAAAAGTGAATTTGGAGCTTGATCACGCCACTAGAGCTGACCAATCAGAGCAAAGAGAGTGTTTAGAGGCGGGGCTTACAGTTTTGCAAACCTAAATAACTGTAAAACTATAAATAGACAAAGGAGAAAAATGTATTTTACATGTTAAAATTATGCTAAAAGTTGAAATCAATATGTTTAAAGTTGAGTGTGGTCTAATTTGTAGATCCACTTGTTACCTCATGACTTCAAGTTTTTCTCTGTATTACCTGTTTTGTGTTTAAATAGTTATTTACATGTATGATTGATTGACGTTTAGTTGCTTTTCTTTTAGTAAGCTGACATTTTGAGAGATTTTTTCTTTCTTCTACTTTTTTTAATCAAAATGTTTGTTCATAATAAACTGTGACATGTTCATGTTAACTGGAAATTAATGGGATTATTAAAAAAAAACACAACCATCATATTTATAGGTTCCTCAATGTGTTTATTGAGTAGCGCAGGACAGTTTTATTCACTGTTCCTTTCATGCAAACAACGTCGTCACGCACAACAAGATAAATCACAGCACATATTTTCACAACAAATCTGATTTCTCCTCTTTTGAAGCTAAACCTTTGGAAAACATTTTTATTATATAAGAATAAAACTTTTTTGGTAGCTTTTACACCATTTTTTAAAAACTCAAAGTTAGTTGTGCATAAATATGCTTGTGTTTATGGACAAACAGGCTTTTACCATATTATTATTCTTCCAAACTAAGGAGTTTGATCCCTTAGTGAAAACTCTTTGGTTGGTCTTTTATTTTGGCAGTTTCCTGTTTGTGTTGCTCGTGTCCGCTCCTTCTGCATGATTATCTGGAGGCATAGAAAGGTCTGATCTTCATGCTGATGGCCTTCAGCGAATACCAGCTGCCCTTCCAGTTCATCCACACCACACCGTCATCTGTGCCATGCTTTGCCATCTTTGACGTATAGGCTCCCCCCATATAGTATCGCCCATTTGGATTGGCTGAGTGGCAGCGGTTGTACCACCAGCCACCTCCGTCCTCCCTGGCGCACTGCTTGGAGGGATCGCCCGGCGTCCTGGGAGCAGCAGACATGGACAGGAAGCGATGACAAACAGGAATAGTTGAAGCAACATCTGTGAGGTTCAGTGTTTGCTTGGTTGCCTACCAGTTGTCGTTGTCTCTGTCGTAGGTGCTGAACATCATGCCGTTGTGAATGGTCATGGTCCGGTTTTCTCCGTACAGCTCCAGAGCTCCTTCCAGGAAGCAGTTACCAGCGTTACCAGAGTAACCATTGACGGCCATCACATAGTTGGACGTCTCTGTCTGGATGGTGAACTGCTGGTATTGGGCATAGACCTTATAGGAAAAGGAACAGGAAGGTTTAGCTTCAGTTGAAGTCAAAGTTTTCACAGGTAAATTTAAAGATTTTCTTTATATTTATTAGAATTAAAATCACCATATTTATGAAAAGACTCACCTTGGCTCCTGTCCAGTCCTGCATCTCGATGAGAACCTCGGTGGGGCCCATCTTGGACAGATGGCTGATGCGGTCATTTCCCAGCCAGTACTCACCTGTCACATGACAACAAAAGACAGTGTGATATTCATCTTCATGGCATAGTTGGGATACAGTTCTTACAGTTGTTTAAAGTCTTACCAGGAATCTCGCAGAAACGTTTGCTGGACGCAAAGGCGATGTTTCCAAAACCACGGCGGTAGTCGTCCCATCGGCGGCCAAAGTCAACGCTGCCATCAAGCCTGTTCTGGATAAGGACCCATCCTGGAAGTAGACATTTTGAAAACCACTGTGACTTTAACTGAAAACAAATACTGGAAACATGCTGGGTGAGTTGCACTCTAACCTCCGTTCTGGGTGGTCTGATCACAGAAGACCTTGTACGGTGAGAACAATGGATCCGGCTGGATGAGATACATCTGGGAGTCTCGTCCTCCACGCCGGAAAATGTCCTCACACTCCTTACCTGGATCGCAACGAAGGGAGATTATCAAAGAAAACCAGAGGCAATTCTGTCACCCATTGTTTTTCTCTTTGTGGAAAACATTTTGCTGTCCTCACTCACCAGAAACCACCGGAATCGGACACTTGGTTATGCACGGATCCTTGCACTGCTCATTCTGGGACAGGATAGCCTTTTCAAGCTTCTGGATCTTCTGCCTGATCTTGTCTAGCACCCCCTGTAGCCACGACACCATTAACATTAGAATCGCCTTTTTATTTGTCATGTTGGTTCTTTTCTTTATATAATACAACTCAAAAAAATAGTTTCACCTGCAGTACTCTGATGTTGGAGGGGAAGACCGTGTCAATGGTCTCTTTGATGTAGGCGTGCTGTTCCTCTACTTGATCAGTGTACTGACTCGCCACCTGGTTGTTGGCTGAAAATGTCAGGAAATGGAAAGAGGAGAAGTGATTGTCTATAAAGAGACTGCAACAAATTCATTTCTAAAGGGGAAATTTGTAGTTCAGAAAAAATATCCACACAACAAACATGTAGACTACTAGTGATAAAATAAACATCCAACCTCACAAACAGGGATATCTTGCTGTCATGAGTTTCTCTTTAACTTAAAGTAGCATCATATTTTGCACCAATTGTCCTTACTGTTGAAGACACGCTGTCTCTCCCTCAGAGAGTTGGAGATGCCGTTGACGTAGTTGTAGACATTGTTGGACGAGCGGGACAATTCCTCAATCTGAGGCTTCAGTTCAGTAATAACCTTACAGGGAAAAGATCAAGAAAACAGAAATTAACATCTGCATCGCAAAGTTTTTTTTTTATTTTTGAAGCTTGAACAGATTTGAATCTTTAATCTCCAGAGATGATCTTATAAAAAACTTTCCATTCAAATAACTTGAAGAAAATGAGTGAAATTTACCGTTTTAACGTTCCTCTCCTGCTTCAGCAAAGCATTTTTCAGTTCGCAGCCAGTCGGACACAAAGCACCCTGACGGAGAACAAAACACTCTGATAAGTGGCCTGAAGCAAAATCCTCTCTTTGTTTTCTAAGGTCCTAAAGTTTTCTAAACTGTTAACCTGTAGTCAAAATTTTCTGAAAACTTTCAGCTTAATGACAAAGCTGTTCTGGAAGACCTCAGACTCAAAGTCTTTCATTTCTGAAATCTTTCTTTGCTGATTTCTCAGACACTTAACCTAATTAAATTCAAGTCTACAGACTGATAAGTAAACTGAAAATGTAAAATCCTGTTAAAACTTGAGTCAATTTTGTTTCATAAATGCTGAAAGTATTTTCCTACCATTGCCTCTGAAGCATGCGTACATCCTCCCGCATCGGGCTGCGGCTCTTTCTCCTGCGCCAGACGGCCGACGGGAGCTGGGGTGGGCCGACCGCTGTACCTGAACAGAAAACCATCAACCCACTGAAAACACAACAGCAAGGCGAGTCTTCATTCTGACACTGAGAGTTTTCAGGGTCTGAATTTGGACAAATTAAACTGAAGTGGTCCAACCAAGTCTGACATTTAAATGCTTTTTGTCTAGAATGGGAATATCAGCTAAAAAAAATAATCAGTTTTCAACCTTTTTTGCTAAACTGGTTCATTTACTTTGTTTTGTCATTGTAAAGTCAATTTTAAACATCTATTAATGAACTATTTTATTATTAAAGCCATTTCAGTTTATTTTTGTTGTGTTTAGTTTCATGAAATATGCAGATAATGGTCTTTGAGGAGTTGTAAAATAAAGATAAATATGTAGTGAATGGTGTTTAAGTTTGAAAGTTAAGAAAATGAATTTAAAATATAAGATATATTTCTATTTTCAGACTGTGAGCTTCTATAAATAAAAAACAAACATTAAGCTTCTTTTAAAAGCCTTGTCCAGCTTCCTTTTCCTAAAAACATACAGAAAAACTAGAAAAACTTTTTTTTATCTAGTTTTTTATTGCCTTTAAACTGAAAAATATTTTATTTCCTCTCATGTGAACAACAGGAGTTGGGGTTCCTGGTGTAGGAGGAGGATGTCCAGCTAGACATATAATGTCCTAAATTTTAATACAACTTTTAATTAAACTATTTAATCATTTTGTTCAAACATTTTCTAAGTGTTCACTGGATTTTATCAGTTTTCTAGATTGATTGTTCAATGTGGATTTCCAGTAAGATGAGTATGGATGATGTGTGATTCGGAGTGCTTTAGTCAGGTGAGGCTGTGGGCGGGGCTTACCTCTGGCCTGAGCTGATTGGTGGAGGGGCGTATCGGTTTGGGCTGTACGAATCTCTGCCTCTGCTCACCGGCCGATGACCTCGAGCATCAACAGCTGTTCCTCCGCTCTGCACAGAAAACAAAGTTAATATGTTAACAAAGAGAAACTATCACATAGTTCTTACCAAATTTAATATATTCCTCAAGATAAATGGTTTTACATACTGTGGTATTCTTTGCCTTGGTGTCCTGTGGAGAAATATTACAAATAATTGTTAGGAATTCAATCTGGTCTGTTGGTGTTTAAGCACATTTTTCTGTGCGCTGTTTCTCTGCTGTGGTTTACTAAGATTAATATGACAAAAAGATAAACGCATAATGTAAAATAAATTTTTGTAGAAAATTGTATTGACTGTGCAGTTTTAAGACATAATTGACTAATATAAAAGAAATTAGCTATTAATTAAAGTAAAAAAATAAAATAAAATTATGCTTCAGTAAGCTGAAATTCAACCATAAAGTTTACATCTATTGGTTTTGTCAATTATTTGCAAAATTCTGAATTTTTCTGATTCTATTTTTCCTATATTGTATAACTTTTAAATTTACATGATTCAATAAGATCAAATAAAATTTGAATAGATGCATAATAAATGTTTAGTACCATTACAATTTTAAATAACTTTTTGTTTCACAATCTTTTTAAAAATCTAAAATTTGTATTTAATGATGCTGCTAAAAGTGTGATTCCCTGAAACAGTTGAGAAATATTATCTAATGAATCCATAAATTATCTTTAATGATACATCTAATTGGATTTTGTATTTAATATAACATGCATGACATTAATTTTATTATGTAAATAATTTAGATTATATATTTTTAAAGATACCAATGATTTTACAGGAATTACTGAAAAAATAAAAATGAAGGAAACAGCATTCACTTGAAAAAATATTTAGTTTGAATTGAATTTTTTTTTTCTAAATTAATCTCAATCCATCCAAAATATTTTTGTTGTTTTTTTAGCTTCTCCACATGATTTAATGACATATTTTTACTTGCTGGATTGATTGTTATCAGACATCATGATCCACATTAAAAAAGCCCATTGTTGACATATTTTAATTGAAACAATAAACAATAATCTTTTAGGAACAAAATAAATACCATAAAATGCATTATGTTTTCTGGAAATAATAATCAGAACAAAATAAGCATTTAATATTACTGTTACTGATAAACTATGACAACTTGAATTTATTTTCCTCTGACTGATTTCACAGATTTGCCCGACATTAAAATACTCACTGTGTCATAGTCGTCGTATTCTAAGACATCCTGAGCCCAGGTGACATAGAGGCACAGGTACAATAACAATAACGTCTTCATCTTCAACTTTGTGATCTCTTTCTGTTTTCCTCTCTCTGCCTCCTTCTTCTGACCCTCTGGTCTTTGCTGTGGAGGTTTTTATCCTCTGATCTTCTGCTCCACCTGCCTCCCCCGGGTTTTATTGATCTGCTGCAGTTGATCAGTAACTGACCACCGAGGTCGGCCCAACCAAACCTGACTCAGCTCTGAAATCAGTCAAGGAACAAAAGGGCAGAAGGAGCGAGGAGTCACAATTTGTTTAACGAATGTGTTGAAAGAAGCTGGTGGTTTACTGTCAGTCTGAGTGATGTAACATCAAAAAACACTTTGAAATGTTTTGAATTAAACAGAAATAAATGAAATATACTTTTTATTTCAGATTGGATGTCCTTTTAGATTTTAGTATTTTTGCATAGTTTTATAACTATTACTCAGTCACTGAAGCATTTATAAATAAAGCCCATGAAGACAGATTAATTTACAGTTACACACTGTCTTGCATCACATTTAAACATTAATTTTCATCCACTCCATGCCATAATGTAATATTTGTACTTAGTTTTTCTGAATTTGTATTATTGATTATGATCTCAATGATGATTCAGAGGGTTTCAGGGCACATTCAGTTAAACACAGCATGTCACTTCCTGGAAGTTCTCACTTCAGAGTCACTGCTGAGTCCAAAAGGGTAAAAGTATCGCATGACGAAACTCTAACCCACACAAACATCCACAAACCTGCGCTAACAAACATTTCAGCCACTTAATGAGGAAACATTTTGTTTTCTTTAATCCACACAGAGAAGCAGAGGGACAGTAGATGAGTTCAAAAATGGGCCAATTTTTGTTTTATTCTGCTGACTAAATACGGCTGAAACCAGTGTAAGAATTTTGTGTTTGCAGCTCAACATCTGTGAATTGTTCCAAATAAACTTAGAAGAGTGGACACCTTCGCATAATTTGTATAAAGTATCAGTAATTTATCATCAAAAGCATTGATAATGTTCCCCTTGAAGTTGTAATCAACATATTTTCTGAGCATAACAGAGTAACCAAGGCCTCACTTTTTGTCTTCCCCAAAATGTTCATGTAATATGCAGATAATGTTCTGTGAACACTTTATATCACATATTTCCAAAGATAACCTATAAGTCTATATTACCCTGAGGTTTTCATGCAGATATTGCCATTACCTTTACAATGAGCATGTTTGTCTAGCTGCCTTCTCTGTTTTATGTCTTTCAGTGAGGATTTACACTGTCACATACTGGCCTGGCATAGTTATTGCAACATTTGCAATAACTATTCAAAACACTTATGTTTTGAATAGTGGGAGAAGGGTCGGGTCAGGTAAGAAAGGTGTGCCAACTCTTGAAGGTAAATTTATATTTTTGAACCTTTAATTATTCTCTATGAAACCACTGTCTAACTTAATCCACACTACAACAGGTTTTGTTGCTTTATTTTTTTTTATTGGTTTTATCTCTTTGCTTTTATTTTGCTTATACAACAAAAAAGATTACATGTAGAAAGAAAACATCAAAATGTGGTAAAAATTGCAGCTTCCATGTGTCTAGAATCCCAGTTAGTGACATGGGTGAGATTTGTTTTTTCTCAGGTTTCATTCAAAAAGATGCGTTCAGTTGTCCTTGGAACAAACAAATGGCAGACTGTGGTTGCAGGGGGCAGCAGACCACTTGAGGGTATCTGAAAAACAGGCAGACAGGAAGCAAAGAAAGATGTTGATCATTAACTTCACTTAATACAAAAGGAAGATGGAAATCATCCAGTTTTATAAGGTAATTCCTGTTTCCAAACTATAAGTATTTAACTACTAATGTATCAATTTATAATTTTGAGAAACATTATATTTTATTTTCTACACATTATTTTTGTGTTGCAGTTCTGTGGAAAAACTGAAAAACAGCTTGATATAGTAATGAATGAAAAATGAATGGAAAACATGCAAAGTCTTTGTGAGGATAGAAAGACATAATATTATGTGTGTTTGTGTGTGTACATCTTTTCATAATTTTTTTTGTATTTCCAGTAATCTAAATTAACAATAAAAGAAAGGGTGGTCTTAACCCTTGTGAGTGCGAGGACTGAGGCAAACATAGAGGACTATGGCAAATGATACAAGTTTTACGTGTGTGGGGTCAGTTGGACTCCATTTCTACATACAAGGGTTAAAAAAGTAGATTTCTTGGTAGTTCTAAGAAAGCAGTAAATACAAGAATGTGTGTATATATATATACATATGTGTGCATGTGTGTGTGTTCTTGTTTATTGCCTATTCGGGGCCCTTTCTGGTGTATATACCAGATGGGTAATTATGGGGACCAAAGACTAGATTTAATGTGGAAGACCCACATTTTTATTATAGGTGATAGGGTTAGGCATAAATATAGTTACTATAGTTACTATGTACTAAACTGAATGGAAGTCAATTAAAAGTTCTAATATGGGTAGAAATATAAATTTCTGTGTGTATGTGTGGTAGACATTACAGTGACAATTCATCTTCAGGCAGCGCTCTTCCTTCTCGTCGTGGTCATCATTGTACCAGTTCTCATAATAGAACTTGGAGCCGTCGGACCACATCCACAAGTCAAGCTATTGGAACAAAAATTATATGAAGTCATACAAACCACTATACTTAACTACACTGCACATCATATGGTGTCAAACAGCTTAAATATGTTAAAATACCTGTGAAGAAGGATAAATGCATCTGATTAAGTTACCAAACTAGTTATAGTCTGACTTTATCAGGAAAATAATTATTTTTATGTTTGAAAGAAATCATACATAAGTTATAAAGATGACTCAGTTTATGTTTGACGGATAATTTCTTAGTGGTAAATGATGTTTTAAAGATTTACATACGTGTATGGCATCAGTTCCTCCAATCCAGGTTTCTGGGAAGCTGTGGGTGTCTCCTCTGGTCAAAGTTTGGATGAAGCGATTTTCCTCATAACTGTGGACTGACGCCAGGTTGGCTTCTTCAAACTGACAGTAAAACTGTACAGAAAAAAACATAACAGTTTCCAAAGATCTGAATTTTACCATATATAAACAGTTTAACCCTTGTGTGTACGAGGACTGAGGCAAACGTAGAGGACTATGGCAAATGATACAAGTTTTACGTGTGTGGGGTCGGTTGGACCCCATTTCGACATACAATAGTTAAAGATGATTAATTTGCCCCACCTCAGCTTCAGGCCATGTCTTTGGGGTGTCGATAAAGAGGAAACACCGATGACCGAAGCCGCTCCAGCCATATGGGCAGTGCATAAGCTTTGCTGCAAAGCATAGACACACATTTCAACATATAGCTGAAAAGTTCATTTTATTTTATTTAACTTTTGACTCGTTTTAGTCTCAAATTTGGTTTACATGAAGTTTACTAGAGAACATTCAGTCATCCAAATTTTATTTAGATAGCAATTTTCACAGGTAAGGAAACTGCAGTTCTTTACAACAAAAACAAACATAAAAAACAGATGATGCAAACATAAAATAACTAAAAAAAAATCAACAGAATCAAAATGGAGACAAAGAATAATACAATCAGTGGTCATTGCTGGAAAAGATCTGTCATAATTTCTGGATTATTGAGAGCACTTGCCTGTAAGGCATGGGTGTTGACATTGTAACAAGATATTTACATAAAAAATATTAACTTTTAATAAAATATGTACCAGTAAAATAAATACTGGTGTCTGCAACACAGCTGGTTAAAAAAACATACAGTAGCCTAACAGGAAAAGTCATTCTTAGCATTGCTCTAATACCCTGTCATAGTTTAGACAGAACCACTCACCGCAGTTAACGGGCCTGACTCCAGGTGGGGTCTTCGTGTTCTGGATCTCCTCTCCGGTGATTGTGTCCACACACCAGCAGTATCCGGTCGAGCCGGAGCACTGCTGCGGGAGGAATTTCCCGTCGTCATCGCACTGTGGGCAGAACATTCCGGGGAAAATCGTGCACTGCAGTTGCTTATAGTCGCAGAGACCCCCCAGGCTCTTGGTGAGGGTTGAGTTAATCGGCACGGCTCGGGTCAGCGTCAATACGCCACAAAACGTGAGAAAAACACCAAGAAAGGTCATGGTGGTGATGGTGGAAGAGGCTGGAAAAAGGAATCTGTACAACAAAAATACAAATTAAATTAACAAAGTGATTCCTAATTAAAGTAAATATTTAAAAAATTTCAAATTCAATATGATTGTAAATTGAAAAGCCCCAATGTGAACTCACTTTCTTCTTAAAAGGCAAAGTGTTTTAGTCTCTGCAGCTCCCCTGGCTTTTATTCTGCAGATTGTCCTTATTTCTGTCCCATGAACTCTACAGTAGCTCCAGACTCTAATTTCACAATAACAATAAACTTTATCTGCTCCCATGTCATTGTTTTATTCCTGACGTGTACATTAATGAAAGAGCCATTCAGGACTCATGTTATCATCGCCAGAAAGTCTGGGTTTGTGTTTTTATTAATATCACTTTCATACTATTGTTTGGTTTCTGAATGCATCTTAGCTTCCCATAAAATCTGACTTCTTTTCACATTGTAGGTCTCTGTGTTCAGCTACTATCTGTTTACACTTTGATCTTGTTTCTCTGTATTGTTCAAATCTGGGTTACATGGATCTTTTCTCTCAGACTTAGTAGAAATGTAGATTAAAATCTCTAAAGTTGTCTGAATGTGATCCAAAATAGCCCTGTTACTGTTATTGTGAGAACACAAATTTACTGATGCATCTCAACAAATTACAATACCATTAATAAATAGCTTTTGCAGGAACTAAAACAAGAAGCAGAACTGATCAAATTTCGAATTGAGAGATTTTGCAGAAAAGAGTAATTGTTTAAACTTGAACTTTCAAAATAAAGCTGAGAATCAGCTCTGAACATTCAAAGACACATGAAGTCAATTACAAAGTCAGTCATCTGAAGAGCCACATTCAGTTTCCAGGCTCCACTAATCTGGAACAAACTTCCTGGAAACTGAAATAATGCTGAAACTCTGACTCTATCAGGGCTAAAAACCTGTTTGATTAGAGTTCACTTTGATTAATAATAACCAGAACATCAATTAACTCTGATCTGGATTACAACTTTTCATCACTTCTCCTTATTTTGCCACTGTTGTTTTTTGTTTGTTTGTTTTTGTTGTTGTTTGTTCACTGTATTGTGTTTTTATCATGTAACGCATGTTGAAATGTCCTTTTGCTGAGAAGTGGGATATGAATAAATAATCTTGACTTTATAAGCTAGAAAAAAAGAGTATATACCAGTAATAATAATCCTGTCAGTGAGGCTTTAAAAGCGGACATCAGGGTTATGGTTCAGTGCCTCCTGACATTTACATAACCCTAACAGTTTACAACAACCTTTGACTGCTTTACTTTGCTTTCACACTTAACTTTGTGGTAGAAAAATAGTTCTTAGTTGAAAAGTTATTTTTATTTTTAAGTGATTTGGTCAAACTTATTTTAAATTTGCTTATACTGGAGGATTTTTCCTCCACAATCTAACTCTCATGCTTACTACCCCTTTTTAGTCTTGCTTCCAGATGTCAGTCAAGAGTTTAACTTCCTCTTGTTGAAACCATAAAATCCCCTTATCTCATTATTTTGCCACTTTTGGTTTTAGACTTTAATATTTACTCCTTTAGAGGACTCTACTCTGGAGCAAACAAGGTAAGACAACATACATGATGTTCTTGTCATGAAGTAAAACTTTGAACCTCAGTAGCAGTGCTTTCCACTTTGTGACTGCATCTGAAATCATTTAACTGTTTCAAATAGAGAACAAAAGAAAAGAGAAGCTATTAAACATAGTAAGAGATTAAAATTCAGAAGATTGATCTCTAACCCAGGTGGAAGTCAGATACTGCAGCATTAAAATAATAATTAAACAATGGTTGGTGTGGTTCTGTCTCAGATGTTTACTGATGGGTAATATAGCAGTTGAAAGCTGAGCATAAATTGCAGGATAAAATGAAATGGATTTACAACAGCACTCAAATATAAAGCATCAAATGTGAACCAACTACTTAACTAAACTGACATTATTTTAAGTAAATGTTCAGATTGTTTTTAGTTATGTTCATTAAAAGTTTTCTTTAACTGAAGTCTACTTTTTTTTGGAGTTTAAAGGAAAAGTTCTGTGCTTAATTTTAAATTTTACAGATTAAAATAAGATTGGCAGAAATACTGGAAGATGTTGGAAAGGTTTCAAAGCATGAAAACTTTTATGTATATCTGCTTTAACCACCAGAACTGCCTGTGGCAAAAAATAATAAGAGGACACTTCACTTTGGTCCAAAATCAGCTGTGGGTCACATCTGGAGCACATTTGATTCAAAAACAGAAATTATCTATGAATTTTACTGACTGATGCTGAGCAGATCAAATGAGAGAAAATAAACTAGAACTACAACAATCAAATATGGAACATAGAAACAATTAGAAGATTAGAGGATTAGCAGAAAACTTCAAGCACATTGCTGGAAGTAACTAAATGTGTGTAAAACGTCAGAACAGACGTCTTCATGTCCACTAGAGGGTTAATGCAAACATTCATGGGAATTTTCTTTTATTATTACTGCTCACAATTTAGTTTTCTTGAAACACACTTTTGCTTTTTTCTATAATACTCAGAAATATTCACTATTATTTCTGTTGTAGCCAAAGAAAATCTGCATGTGAACAGAATCAGAGAAACGCATCGTTCTTCAGCTGATCATTTAGAAAGCATCTTTTTGTAAAGCTTTAATCTGCTCAATTTTGCTACAGTTTGATTACTAAAATGTAGGTGATTTTGAGTTTCTAATACTTTATTAAAGCCTTTTTCAGATATTGAAGTTGTGTGGTAAATATACTATTTCACTGAAACTGTTTCATATTAGCCCTGAGCTGAGTGTAAGGGAAACAGCCGAAGTGAAACCTATTTTTGTTCAGATATTTGCCCTTTCTTCTGGACAGATGCATAAAGACTTCATGAGAAGATAAAGTAAAAAAAGAAAAACAGTCTTTCCTGTTTAACAAATGACTTCCCCAATGTGTGCGTTTCACTTCTGCGTCTCGTTCAGCTCAACAGATCTGCTCTTCCACTCTGCAGCATGAGACGTTTGACTTTGGGTTCCCTGGCCCTGCTCCTCCTGTTGGTACCTCTGATCCGGGGTCAGGAGGTCAACGGGGAGGATGGGAGGCCGACCTGCAGGCGCTGCGACCTCCATCACTGCTGTAACTGCTCCCACAGCGGACTCACCCGCATTCCCATGGTAACAGACCAAGCACTGAGGCTGGACCTTTCCTTCAACAACATCACCAACATGACCAAAGATGACCTGATGGGTCACTCAAGGCTGAGGGCTCTGGATCTCCATGGTAACCATTGTTTTTGCTGTATGCACATGTTTCTGTCCTGCAGGAAGAGTTTGGTGGTAACTGTTTACATTTACTCAGTTACATTTACTTGAGTGACTTTTTTGAAAAAATGTACTTTCAGGAGTGTTTTTACTGTGCCGTACTTTTTACTTTTACTTGATCAGTTACTCAGTACTTGAGTAGACTTTCTACCAACTACTTTTTTTACTATTACTTGAGTAATTTCTTGGACCGATACCTTTTACTTTTACTTGAATAAGAATAAGTTTAAGTAGTGTTACTCTTACTTGAGGACATTTTCCGGATACTCTGCCCTGCCTGCAGCTAACGGGTTAGCTGAGATCCATCCGTCGGCGTTCGACTCTCTGTGGAGCCTGGAGGAACTGGATCTTTCTGACAACCAGCTGACGGTTCTCAACCCCAAGTGGCTCAAAAATCTGGCGATTCTGGAGAATCTCAACCTGCTCAACAACCCGTACAGGTGAGGAGCTCAGAACCGTGCAGAGGCACAGTTGCCGCAAACGTAATGCCAGAAATGAGTTTATAACCTTGATTTAAAGGAACTTAGAGTTTGAGTAGTTTTGCAGGTTTGTTCCAGATTAGAGAAGCATGGTCTCCATGTTTGGTTCTGGGGATGCAGAGCAGAACAGAACCAGAAGACTGGAAGGTTGACAGCAGCAGATCTTTACTGTGTTGTGGGGCTAAGTCATCCAGTGATTCATAAACTAACAGAAGTATTGTAAAGTTTATTCTCTCAGTGGAAGGACTGAGATGATGTTCTCCACTCTCCAGTCAGGACACCTAGAGGACATGATGTGAAGCTGTTGCTATAAAAAATTGTTATTGTTCACACCAAACACTTACACACATCCATTTATAAACAAAGACACAGAAAATTAACAATTTTCCACCTCTACTTATTATTTTTATTGTTATTATTGCATCAAAAAAGCAGCAGTGCTTTGTTGTTAGTGTGTGGTGTATTTAGAGACGGAAGGAACTTTGAAAAAGGCACAAAAAAAAAAGAAAAAAAGGAGAACATTGAAAGGGGTCAAATATTTTATTACACTCTGGTGCCGCTCACATCCTCAGGTCACAATATGAACTGCTTCTGTCTGCCAAATGTTATGGAGTCCCCTCCTACAGACCTAATAGGTTTAAATATTCATTAGTCTCTGCACCCATCAGAATAATAAATAAGGTAGGCGATTGTGCATTGCTGGTTTGATTGCTTGTTTGGAACATATGTGGGAAGGTGAAATTAGATTTTTTTTATTGAGCATATATGTAATTTTTATTTTATTGTGATTTAAGTGTCCAATATGTATCTTTAGTGTGTATTTTCTTTTTGCAGCACATGAGGTCCCAGACAAATGTCCCCTGTGGAAACATTAAAATGTGTGTCTACATGTGATGTGTAACTAGTCAACACACAGGCCGGATGTTCTGAAAACTTCATTTTGTCTTATAGCGTCATTACCAGTCAGACTGAAGGACTTCTTGTTTTTTACTTGTTGAACTCCAGTTTCAGAGCATTTGAGTTCCTCTGTTTCCAGTATCTTAGTAAGATGTGACTCGTCTACAGACTTGACTCACACATTTCCCTGTACACGTTAAGTATCCAATATAATATTAATAATAATCAATCTAGGTGGTGAACAATGTTAATGTGTGAAAAAATATCTTCTTACCCCTCCAGTTTTTAACCACATCAATAAAAAGTATTTTCAACTAAATTCTCCTTCTGATTTATTATCATGAAAATGAGACATTCACACATGCAAGAATATTCAATTGTTTTCCTATTTAATTTGGTACGGAACAAGTGAAAAGCTTTGTTTGCCCTCATATATGTTTAATGTGGATTGGGTTTTACAAAGGAAACATGCTTGAATCAAACCGGATTTATTCATGCATAGATAGTTCCTCATCTAAAGCAAGATTCAGTTGGAAACCATCTTAGATGTGTAATAAAATGAGCAGAAACTTGTAAATCCACCGTGTTTTGGTCTCCTCCAGCCGTCTTGGTTCCCCTTCGATGTTTTTTGGACTCGTCAGACTGAGGAGGCTGATGTTTGGAGGTCCAGCCCTGAAGGAACTACGGAGAACAGATGTGTTTGGAGTCACGGAGCTGGAGGACCTCACTGTCCACGCGAACAACCTGGCCAGGTGTTCCCACATTCGTCCTGTATGATGCACTGACCTTTAACTTCCAGTTAATACTTGGCTTTTCCTTTCTTTTTTCTGCTCTCTGCAGTTATGACTCTGGCACATTAGGAGACATTTGGCCTCTGGGTCGTGTTACCTTAAGCCTCCATGGTCCGTTTCTAACCAACGTGGCCTTGGCTGCAGCTGTGCTCACGGACGTATCGTACCCTGAGACTCCAATTGTTCTAGAGGACCTCCATCTGATTGGGAATCATTCTGTCCTGCCCTTCAGAGAGTCAGCCAAAAAGAGGATCAGGTTGGGTTATCATGCTCTTTTCAGTGTGTTCCTGCAGCAGCACATGCTTTTATGAACTTTTCTTCGTTGTTGTCCTTCAGATCTCTTTCTTTCCGTAACTTTTCTGTGTCTGATGCCACGTTTGTCGACTTCCTGATGGCGCTGAATGGAGACCCGCTCTCTTATCTTCACGTGGAAGACGTCACTTTGACAGGCGAAGGGAGGTAGGAAACCAAAACCTGCAGATGTTTAAACACCCAATGGATGTAAATACAGTTTGTGCTTAGAAATCAGATTGCCCAAGGATAAGAAAATCTTTAGGACTTCGAGGGATTGCTACAAAACCACATCTATATTTATGATTAGAGGATTTTTTAAAAACAAAAGTAATAATTCGACCACGTTAATTTCTTGGAAATTAACAAATCTATGTCAAATTACTGACATATTTCCGTTAATCGGTCAACAGAGCAACGTGATCTGTTTAAACAATTTGATGCCTCAGTTTTACTATACTTAAATAAGGAGAAATACACTTAAAAACCTGCTAAAACTTGAACTACTCACTTCCATAAACATTGGTGGTGTTGGTGTTTTCAACTAAAAGACCAACAGTGACACCTGCTGGTCCTTACACAGAATGACAGATCATTTTCAATAGATCAGATTTAGAAAGAGGCTGCTGAAGTTTGTAACTCCTTCTTATCTGTACTCATGTAGAGGTAGGAAAGCTCCACCAGTGACGAATTTCAAAACATGAATGTGACAAAAAGGATTTTTTTGTCTGCAGCATTGATTTTTTACTTAGCTTTGAATAGATATAACGTTTTTCCTTGCTTGCCATTACTGATGTTTTATGATCAGCTAACTGTGTAACTTTCACTGTTTGTCTGTGGCAGGTGGGAGAAAGCCAATAAAACCGATTACAAAAGCATCGACGAGTTCTTTCTTCGAAATGCTGTGGTGGTTGACGTCTACAAGTTCGTTTCATTCCTACAGCTGGGTTTTCTTCTGTATTACCCAAGGAAGGTGTCCGTCATAAACTGTGGGGTAAATATGTGATAGCAACCACTCCAAAGTTTCCAGGCTCTGACCAAAGTCTTAACAAAACTAAAGACTGCAAGAGGAAGCCGTGTTGTATTTAATTAGAAATTATTTGGATTCCTTGTAAAAGTTGCTTTTGTCTTCAGGTGTTTGTGATGCCCTGTGAAACATCCAAGCTGCTGGTAAACCTGCAGTACCTAGATTTGTCTGATAATCTACTGACCGACCTGACGACAGCAGAATCGCTTTGTCATGGAGCGCCAACGCTGAAAGAACTCAGAGTTTTAAACATCAGTGGAAATCCTCTGAAGGTGTCTTCATACTTAAAGTAAAATCTGGGTAACTTACCAGGAATCAGAGTTTCTTGGTTTCAAGCTTTGTCCACTTCTGTCCAGTCTTTGTCAATGATTAGCCATCTGGTGACCAACCTCCTGAAGCTGACCCACTTGGACATCAGCAGAACTCTCTACAGCTCAATGCCGTCGAGTTGCTCCTGGCCCTCTACTCTGAAATACCTCAACATCTCCAGAGCTAAGCTAACAGCCACCACTTCCTGTCTACCAAGATCATTAGAGGTAAAGAAAGTGAACCATACAGAAGCAAACCCAACAAATCCAACGCAGTCACAACCAAAACATGCTTAACTGACTGAAGATTATGGACAGGTGCTGGATCTGAGCTACAACAATCTCAAAGGTTTCTCCCTGGACTTGCCTTTACTGAGGGAACTCTACCTCTCTGGGAACAAGTTCCTAGGATTACCCGCTGGACAACCCTTTCCAAATCTACAAACTCTTACAATGCAGGTAAGAATGAATCCTGTAATTCTAAATAAAGTCAACTCTGCTTTCTCCAGTATGTGACCCCTTTCTCTTTTCAGTTTAACACCCTGAATATGTTCGGCCTCTCAGATCTTCAGTCGTTCAGGCGGCTCGAGAACCTCCAGGCTGGTTACAACAAGTTCATCTGCACCTGCGATTTCGTTAACTTTCTCCAGTCACAGCTAAAACAAAACGGAAATGTCAAGTTAACAGACAGAAAGGACGGCTATGTCTGCGACTCCCCTCTCCACCTGCAGGGGGAGTTAGTGAGTCAGGCCCGACTCTCGGTGGAAGTTTGCCACCGGGTTTTGTTTGTCTCTGTGAGCTGCGGCGTGGCCCTGTTGGTTGGGTTACTGCTTTGTGTTCTGCTGTGGCGGCTCCATGTCTTCTGGTACCTGAAGATGACTTGGGCGTGGCTCAAGGCAAAGCGAAGTTCCCAAAAACAAAGAAGAGCTACTGCAGACTCAGAAGCGCTGCTGTCCTTTGATGCTTTTGTTTCCTACAGTGAGAGGGATGCTGGCTGGGTGGAAAGCTTCCTGATACCTGAGCTGGAGGAGCCAAGGTGAGTATTTTTAACCTGTTAGCTCATTTTATACTTCAGCAACGATACTATGCCTGTCAGCTATGCATTTATGTAAGAAAAACATTTAGTCAAATATATAAATGGTGAATTTATATATTCCTCTAACAAAATTTAAGTTTTTGGATCAAGCTGCTTTTTAAAGGCTCTGCATGATCCGGTCGAACTGCTGAAATCAGTTCTCATTGTCTTAATTGTTTGACAAAAATCAAGTCATTTTGTCTTCAACCTCATGTTGTCTACTCCTTGTTACAATTAATCAATCAATCAATTTTGAGGGTCAATTGTCTGAGGTCTTGAGGAACTACATACTATCTGACCAAAACACTTGGTTTCTCCTGCTCGGTTCTGATCCGATGCAGTGGGTGAACGTCCCTCTGACACCTCCCGTTTTCTAGTAACGCTACAATTTGTCAATCGTCATTTCCTCCTTGTCCAAACTTGTGAATTTGTAATAGTCAATCCTCTGTTCCATAATCATAAAGGCATTATTGTAAACCACACACATAACAAAACACCATGAAGTCTGTTGTAGGGGTTTCACAGGAACTCTGCTAAATGAGCGTCTCGTAATACGTGACCATCCAGTCAGTTTGACTTCAGTCTGACAGTGATGGACCCTTAAAGTACAGTAGAAAGTGGATCCATAATCTGGTTTCCTGTTTGTTTTCTCACCAGTGAGGATGGTTCCAGTAGTACCAGCTCCTCTCGGCCATTGTCCTTGTGCCTCCACAAGCGAGACTTCCTTCCAGGACATACGATCATGGACAACATCATGAGCGCCATCGAACGCAGTCGTCGAACTGTCTTCGTCCTCTCCGAGAACTTCGTCCAGTCCGACTGGTGCCGCTATGAACTGGACTTCTCCCACTTCTGGCTGTTTGAGGCCGGTGGAGACACTGCCATTTTGATTCTGCTGGAGCCGCTGTCCAAGGACGACGTCCCCAAACGTTTCTGCAAACTGCGCAAACTCATGAGCTCCACCACCTACCTGGAGTGGCCTCAAGAGGAGGAGAGGAGGCCGGAGTTCTGGAGGAGTCTCCGCAACGCTCTGAAAGGAGACAATGACTGACAAAACGGAGCCTCTATGTATAGGAGAAGGAAAAAATCAGATGCACTGAGGACTTTCTTGTGTAACTTAAAGTTATTCATGAAAAATCTTACCCATTTGTGTACTTTTGGGAAAGTGAAAGAGCTGTGCAATGCTATTTGGCACTCTGTTGGCTGGTGTTTTCTAAGCAGCTAATCCTCTATTGTATTTCATTTTCCTGGGTTCTTATTGGCTGAACCCCCAAGAGTGGAAATCAATAAGATGTTGGATTTTAGCTTCTGCAGTTGCGCTAACACGGCTTTCACTGTGTGTATTTATGCATGTTGAGGTACATTTGGTGTTTGAACTATTAAGAAAGACACCCACATTTTATGTAATTCATGTTGGACTATAATCCAAGGAGAAGGACTGAACCATAGAAACTGGAAAACCATAATTAACGCCTTGCTTAAGGTTAATAACAATCAAAAGATGTATTGGACATATTGAAACAAAACAACATACAAAAGAGCAATGCTGAAACTATTCTACCAATAATATCACCTAATGAGTAACTTGACCTGATGACTAATGTTTTTATTCATAATTAATAATTGTAGCTTTGCATGAAAAATTTTGTTTTGCTTTTATGTTCTTAGAGGACAAAAATATGTTTTAGCTGTAAAGAATAAAGAACAAATAAAAAACATATTTTCATGTCATTTTGTGTTATTAGGCGACGGATAATAATTTAACACAGGATCCCTGCTGAAAGTTGGTCAGCAGGTTCAAAACAGACATGAATCCTCATTAAGAGCAGGAATAATTTGTCCTGATATGGAAAAAACAAAACATTAAAAATAACTCACTTTCTTGTCTAATAATTCATTATTCCTAAACGTACATGAAAATATGTATTCACACTGTTCAGCAAAGCATTTCTCCATTAGACATGTGATGTAATCTGTGTTGTGTGACTGTTTGCACACACCTGTCTGTCATATGAGGGGCGTCGACCCCAGACTGCACACCATGAAACTGCTCTGTCTACTTACTTCCTGTTTTGCACTTGAACTCGTTGTTCCTCTTTGAGATGGACAAAAACTCTTCTTATTCTCTGACTCAGTTTTTCTGTCGTCCATTTCATCTGTTCAGCAGATACTAAGGTAAGAAACATCCTGAGTACTGATGAAAGTATGTTTCGCTGTTTAAAAAATGTTTTTATCCATCAAAGTTAAATTTTTTATGCTTTTTAAAAAAAATCTGTATTCTTTAACTCTTATTGAAGAGATTTTATCGGCGATAACCTGAAGGGAGTTTCTCCAACACAGCCTCTGTTGATCTCACATCTTGTTGCTTTTCCAGAGGTTCTCAGTTATTCAGATGACAAAATGAGATGCCACAGCAATAAAGTTAGAAAAAACATAATATGGAGTTTGTTCAATGTACTGAAACTCGACTACACGGTTTTTTTTTTTTAAAGTCATTTTTCTTCCCTTCTTAGTGATTTTTACAACACAATTTGCACCATAAAGACACATGAAGAATCCTTGTATGCTTAGTTTTCATTTGAATCATTGAGTCACATCTGTGCTGCATGGAGTCGACCCACAGCTGGAACCTGTGAAAAGGCACCGCAGCCCAGAACTGTTTGCTCAGAAACATCATCTATAAACTTCATTAGTCCCACCGGGAGTCATAGGATCAAACACAAGTTTTCTGTTTTGTGTCTTTTAGGTTAAAAACTAGTTAAAAGCAGTTGATGTTACTTAAGCTGACCAGCTGATCATTTGCACCACGTCATTTGTTTTCCATCCTGGAATCTTCTGCACAAATTTTACTCATATTTTGCACTTTAACCACAAAGTGGAGCATCTGCTTTCTCAATGTTTTTATGAATTCCCAGCAGTTAATAACAATAACAAACCCCAGGCACGTTGCAAGCGACCAGACTCTCCTAACATGTTATGTTCAAGCCTTTTTATCCCCTAACATCACATTTAGCCTGAATGATTGTTCCTAAGTCACATATAAAAACCATAATAACCTCAAGAGAGCTTCCCTCTTTAACAGCTACGTGTTTATGGGATGGTGTTTATAATCCACTGTGGAGCCAGAAAGACTTGATTTTGTCATGAAATGATTTCCTCACACCTCCTGTCAGACTTTCACTTCTGTGTGTCTGTCATGTAAAACAAGCTGCAGGACGAAAAAAAAATTGACTCATTTTCCTGTTTCTGCATTTCACCAACTTGAACACTCAAATGTCTCTGCAGAGGATGAGGCATCTGGGGGTACTGGCACTGTTCCTCTTCCTCTCGCTGATCTGGGGTCAGACGGCGAACGGGGATGATGGGAGGCCGACCTGCAGGCGCTGCGACCTCCATCACGCCTGTAACTGCTCCTACAGTGGGTTCACCCGCGTTCCCATGGTAACAGACCAAGCTCTGAGCCTTGATCTCTCCTTCAACAACATCACCATGGTGACCCAAGATGACCTGATGGGACACTCACGGCTAACGCTTCTGGATCTCCATGGTAACAATCAAGGGATTCAAACTGAAAAAACCAGTAGAGCGTGTCTGAATGCAGTGTTTCTGCCCTGCAGCTAACGGGTTAGCTGAGATCCATCCGTCAGCGTTCGACTCTCTGTGGAGCCTGGAGGAACTGGATCTGTCTGACAACCAGCTGACGGTTCTCAACCCCAAGTGGTTCAACAAGCTGGAGCTGCTGCAGCATCTCAACCTGCTCAACAATCCGTACAGGTGAGGAGGGCGGCTTACGCTCTGATGCAGAGGCTTTTACCCATTTTGTGAAGATCCCCAAAGCCTTACCACGGGTTCTCAGATGGATGAAGGTCTTTACTTTGAATGGGCCATTTGAAAATGCTTAAATAGAAACCATCCAGCTCAGGATAAACATTTAGGGTTGTTGTCCTGTCTGAAGGTGAACCTCCATGCCGTCTCTCGTCCTTTTTGCAACCAAATGCCTGAACAAAGACCAGACTCATCACATGCATGTCCTTCTTGGCCTCCTGCAGCTTTCTCGGCTCCCCTTCATTGTTTCTTGGACTTTCCGAACTGAGAAGGCTGATGTTTGGAGGTCCAGATCTGAAGGAGCTGAGGAGAGAAGACCTATCAGGAGTCACCCACCTGGAAGAGCTTACTGTTAACGCCAACAATCTGGACAGGTAACCAGCCCTCATTTTTCTGGGTTTTCCATCTCCCAGATGTTCTCAGAGTCTTTTAAATTGCGCTTGATGAGCAGTTCTCCAAAGGTTCTGGTGGTCTTTGTTTTTCACTGGACTTTATTGGTTTATTGCTTCTCCTTTTTTTACATGTCCTGTCCAGCAGTGTGGCAAATTTCAGCTAAAAAAACTAAAAATTTATAAATAACTGCCAGGCAGTTTATTCATGGAAATAAACAAAAACCAAAGTCCAAACCCTCGTTGATCGATCCGCTGTCTTCCCTCTTCCTTTGACTCTGTCTCTCTGCAGGTACGACTCTGGTACGTTTGGGGACATTTGGCCTCTGGGTCGTGTCACTCTAAGTCTTCACGGCCCGTTTTTAACAAACCCTGCGCTGGCTGCAGCTGTGCTCAATGATGTGTGCTACCCTGAAACTTGGCTCACTCTGTCAGACCTCCATCTGGCTCATTATGTGTCTGTTCAACCTTTTAAAGATTCAATCAACATGATCAGGTTTGATAATAACCTCCTTTTTGCTGTTAGAATAACTTAAATGGAGCAAAATGTTTAGCAAACGTTAATTCTCCTTTGGTTCTTCTCTCCAGATATCTGTCTCTCCGTAATGTGTCTCTGTCTGATGAAGCCTGTGTCTCTATGCTGGCACTACTAGATGGAGTCCCGCTCAGCTCCCTCTCCATTGTGGGTTTAACTCTGACAGGCGAGGGCAGGTAGGAAACCAACATCTCAGCTGTTCATCACTCTTTTAGTCAAACTTTATCCATCCATCCATTGTCTGAACCCAATTATCCTTGAAAGTTTGTGGAGTTCATGGAGTCTATCTTCAGCAGTCGCTGGACAAAAGTCCATCAGAGCAACGCAGACATAGGGACAAACAATCATTAACCCATAACAAATGGCAATTTAGACACCAGTTAACCTGACAATCACTTTTTTGGACTATGTGAGACAGTCGGACTGCCTAAGCTGGGCTTCAAGTAGGCACTGGGTTACCTCAAGACACTAATTCCAGTCAGGCGAAACATCTGATGAGACTTTTGATGGATGAATAATTTTGACTGTTCCTCCAAACCTGAATATTTAGTATTTGATGTGGCTAAAACATTTCCTGGCTTTGCGTTAGGTGGGTAACGGCTAACCGGACAGATCTGAGAAGCATGGACGAGTTCTTTGCCAGTGACGTCACAATTTTAGACATTTTGAAGTTTGCCATGGTTTCAGAACTGCAGTATCTGTTGCAATACCAGAAGAAGCTCTCCATTATTAACGCAAAGGTAAAAATCACACTTCACATACAAAAATCTGTCTGCATGGTGGTAATGCGAATCAGGCTATGATGCTTTTAATCTTAAATCATAGTTTAATCAGCAGGCAAATAATTTTTCATCTCCTTGTCATTCATGTTAACCAAACAGCATTTTATTTTGAGTTTTGTATTTTCGTGTGGTTCCATCCTAAATCACATTAAAATATAAAAATAATGATAAATGTTTTCCTCACAGCTATGTTCTCATTTTACTTTCAGTTGTTCCTGTTATCCTGTTACTTAACCAAGATGATGGTGAACACATTGTACTTGGATGTGTCCGATAATCTGCTGACCGACCTGACTCTGACTTACATGCTGTGTGACAGTGAAGAAACTCTCCAGGAGCTCCGAGTTTTAAACATCAGCGGAAACCTTCTGAAGGTGTCAGCGTTGAACCTGAGGTAAAATCTGTGTAAAATTGCTCAGAGTGCAAACCTTTGAACGTTTGTCTGTTTAGTCTTTGTCCACGTTGAGTCGTCTGGTCACCAAACTCACCAAGCTCACCCAGCTGGATGTCAGCAGAACCAGCTACAACTCCATGCCCTCCAGTTGCTCCTGGCCGTCCACCCTGAGGTACCTGAACATCTCCCGGGCTAAGCTAACCATCGTCACTCCCTGTCTTCCAAAATCTCTGGAGGTACAGAGACTGGATCAAGGACCAGTAAACCTTCCCACTGAAAAGATGCTTTCTATTTATCTCATTCTTGCTTCTTTACAGGTGTTGGATTTAAGCTATAACGATCTCAAAGAGTTTGTGCTGACAATGCCAATTCTGAGAGAGCTCCACCTTTCTGGGAACAAGTTCCTGAGGTTACCAGCAGGGGGCCCATACCCCAATCTGCAAACACTCACGATACAGGTAAGAAACAATCCCATCCGTCACGTTGTGTCTCTCTGTGTTCTCCATGCTGATCCAGTCTGGTTTTGTACATTGCAGTCAAACACCTTGAACGCGTTCAGCCTTTCAGACCTTCAGTCATACAGACGACTTGAGAACCTCGAGGCGGGACACAACAAGTTTGTTTGCTCATGTGAATTCATCACATTCCTCCACTCACAACTAACGGGAAGTGGAGATGTGAAAATAACGGACAAACATCAGACCTATGTCTGTGACTCCCCTCTCTACCTGCAGGGGGA